TTTTTTTTTGGCCCGGCCGGCCAAGTGACCCCGGGCCACTCTGGTAGCCTAGATCCAGACTATATATTATCGTCCCACTCATGCAGAACTGGAAGCCTAACGCCTATCTCTGCTTCGCGATGGGTCCTGGTCCTTCGGACAAGAGACTGGACACAATTAGGGCATGCACACCCACACGCACATGCATGCACTCACAGTTTTTGGGTATGACATGGCCCCAACGTTTTCCCCTTTTGCAGTTTGATTTTTAAAAGCGAGGGGCACGTTTGGCCACCTGTCCTTTCGGATTTTTTTTTTTTTTTTTTGAAAGTGATGCAACACATGGCGCGTGCATGCGTGCGCCTGCGCTATGTGCCGCACGTGTGCAACTTACGCGCACGTGATGCACCACAAGCCTGTGTAGCCTCGTGTTAGCATTCGGTGAGCGAACCCGAACGTTCACGACCGAACGGGAAAGAGTGTCAAAGCCCGCGAACCCAAAAAAAAAAAGTTGCTCAGAAAAATATGAAAAAAAAAACTGTTATGTACATTGTACAATGATAATACAAACAACTTCTTCCTGAAGAGGTGTCCAAATTCCTACCCAAACTCGAGGTAAAAATAACCCCCCCCCAAAAAAAAAAAATCATTAAAAAGAATATGTTTGACCGAACAGGTTCAGGAGACGTTCGGCCAAACACCCACACAGCTACAGACGTATACTCGATCCAGATGAAACTGGCTCAAACTTCAAAGTTTTTTTTTAATTTTATTTTATGGATGGATATGGCTCGATGTTTTTTTTATTTTGTTTTCTCTACGAACTTCTGAATTACCTGGGGCAATTGAGCGAACGTTTTTTGTGTTTTTCTTTCCCCCGGGGTCATTCTAGTACCCTCCCCGCGTGGTATGACCAATCTGACCCTGCACTGTACGGCGGGCCTGCATGGTGCCATCCAGTCCACATACTCCGACCCACTGTGCATAGCCATGGCAGGCATATGCTTGTTCACTTTTACGACGAGCAAATACCCATGCCATTATTCAACAATCTCTCCAGCATAGCTGACCAAAAACTTCACATGTCCACACTTGTACGTTTTACTTGGCATGCCCACACTTCTAACAACACTAGTTAATGGATTGCACAAATAAAGCAGACCGTGCTCCTTTTTTCCGAGGATGATTTTCATGACTGGCCGGTCACCCGGGCGTGACATCCGGGGGCTCTGACGCCTGGGATACCCGGGCATGGGGAAAAAACAATACAAAAAAAACAAAATTAAAAAAATTGGTGGTGGGGTTATTCCACGCACTCCGAGAGGAGCCCATATCCGGGCTCTTTTCTTTGTTTGAGAGTTGGCTGTCAAGGGGGGGGAAGGGGAGTATAAATGAATTTTAAAGGGGCTAAAAGGGTTGAAAGAGGGGTGCCTTAGTGTGATTTGTTTTTGTTTTTTCTTTTTATCATCAACTCAGTGAGGAATTCTGATGTGACCCTCAGCCAAAAGTTGTTTGCATTGCAATTCTACACAACATTTTTTTTTCTCAGATTTTTTTGGAGGTTTTCTTTTTTCTTTTTTCTTTTTTTTTTTGCGCTGTGGCTGCTGGGCCCATGCCCGGCCGGTCACCCGTTCGGAAAACCGGGCGTGACGTTGGGACTCGGGTGCTCGGGATATCTCCCTAGCTTTTTTCCTTTTTTCTTTAAATGATAAAAAACATGCCCTTAAGGTCCTGCCTCCTTATCCATCCTGAGGAGCCTCTCACCTTTCCCTGTCCCGACATTGTAGATTTGAGCCTCTCCCTGTCGTAGATTATTCATGGCGACAATATGAGCGTCCACAAGATCAGTTACGTGAATGTAGTCACGAATGCAGGTGCCGTCCGGCGTCGGGTAGTTTGTTCCCATTATCTGCACAACAGGTGGAAACCCCAATGGTGAGAGACTGGTTAAAAAAAACAATTAAAATACCAAGCTGAAAAGGAGAAACAGTCCTTCAGGACATCCATTAAAATTGGAACAATACAGAGAAGATTAGCACAGGCCCTGCACGAGGGAGAAACAGAAAAGGACAAGCCAAAAAAGGAAAATGAAGTACAGTAGCATTGCTGTGCAAGTCAAAAAACAGAACTTGAATACATGAGGGTTGACCAGAGGCTGATACATCAGATCATGGAAGCTGATGGACAGTGGCGATGCATCAGACAAGCGCTGAGTGGCAGTGCATTTTTCACTCCTCATGATTTTGGGAGGCCCATCCACAAACTAATCACGGTGTCACCTTCACCCTCATACAAAGCAGCAGAACACACTAATGCTTACTACAGCGAAGCGCACACACACACACACACACACACACACACACACACACACAGAGAGAGAGAGAGAGAGAGAGAGAGAGAGAGAGAGAGAGAGAGAGAGAGAGAGAGAGAGAGAGAGAGAGAGAGAGAGAGAGAGAGAGTGCGGACACTCCATAGCACATCAGTAACTTTCTTTGATTCCAGTGCAGTGTCGGCACATGACCTCACTGCAATTCTGACCTTTGAGTTTTACTCGTGTGGCCAGGGTCACAGTAGTGTTAGGACCTGCCAAACACAGACTGAGACACAGCTGATTTCTGAGTTTTGCCCATGGAATGTATACCCTGCTCAGTTTCCCGCTTGTTGCTGAGTTTTCTAAGGCTGTGTGTGTGCGTGCTTGCTGGTCTGCATGCCTCTCTGAGTGCTTGTCGGCTTGAGTGTGTGTGACCCGCAAGGGCACTTGTTCGTTCAGAGGGCCCGAAGGGCTGGTACTTACCTGTGGCGGTGACATTGAGGGTTGCAGCGGGAAAACACTCGAGTGGCAGGGAAAAAGGCCCGCGACAGTACCGGAAAAACAGTCAAGTAGCAGGTAGGCAAACACTCAAGTAGCAGGTAGGCTGGTACCACACCAAGTAGAGGTAGATGTGCCGGGTACTTGAGGCCAAGCAAAACAAAGTTGGCATTTTAGAGAACCAGTAGTTGTAGGCTAGGTCTAGGCGGTTACCAGTCCAACCAGTCTGTACGGGCAATATCGGAGTCTGCAATGATGTTTCCCTCCGAAAGGGATGTACCAGTTGCTTGGAGGCCGCGCGGCATAGGAAGTCACTACCCAAGAGGCAAGCAGACCGCTATATCTTTTGGAGGAGCGAAGTGCTTCTCATTCTTAGGTGTGCAAGTTTGGCGACACACTGCTTGGAGCGCTGGCAGGAGCAACACTGGCTGGAGCAGTGCTGCTGGGGAGGACCGAGTGCCCAGCTCTCCACTGTGGCTATGGTGGAGGAGCACGGGCTGGAGGAGGACGACGAGGACTAGGAAGAGGGAGAGCGCCAAAGATACTTACCTGGCTATGGTGTATGCCATCTTCATCACCTTACTGGGCGCTGCATCTGGAAGGCCCCAGTTGGGGTAGAGCTACACCAAGAAACTTCCAGGCGGCCTGAGCTAGGGCAGCCATAGCTGCTGTGTGTTGTCATTTGCACAGCAGGGCAAGGCCCTGGTAGTCCGCCGTAGATTCGGCCTTTGCGGAGGAAGAAGAACAGTGGCCATGACGATGGTAAAATTCATGTGATACCTGCAGTAGAAGAGGGATTCTGATAATTCTGGTTCAGCCATTCAACATTATTATTATTATTTATTTTTTGAATAAGAGGGAAGGAGAAAAGGAGGAGGAGAGTGGTTGAAGAAGAAGAAGGGAATTTTCATTGGTCGTTGCTGGTGTACATCTTCTTCTTCTTCTTCTTCTTTCCCTCTCTCTCCTCTCAAGTTCATTCATTTCTTTTGCAATTGGACGGCATTGTGCTTTTGCATGAACTTTATCTTGACAAAGACTTCTGTGCCCAGCACTGGGGGGAGCTGACTAAGAAACATCCCACTGTCAGTCTGTCACTACAATAAATTGCGGTGCTGTTTACTCTCTTCATGGCCTACCAGGCCAATGCGTCTGAAGGCCAACACATTTGGCAACGGGAAGTGATACGAAGACACAGTCAACATGACAGTATCCGAGTGCTTGACAGCACGGTTGCCTATCCGTCCATGTATTGCAGACACAAGTCTGGAGCCTATGTAACCCTGGGGCTTTCTTGCCTCTTGCAGGCAGAAAACGCATGGAAGAGAAGGGAGAGATAGGTAGCCCCAGCGGAGTGACCTGGAATATGCAGATTGAAGCCTGGCAAGTTGCTCTACAAAACTGACTCCTGTAAATCCCCATATCTAATACTCTGAAGGAAATAGAGGGTCTCACGTGAGATCCCACGCGAGCCCCCATTCACAGTGTTGGGAAAGCACGAAATGGGCCCACGGCCCGTGTGGGGAGCGGCCGAGCAGGCCGGCGCGGGTGGGGCGGGCTGAAACAGTGCGCCTCCAGGAAAGACGCAGGCCGAGCAGCGCAAGGCCGTCGGCCCAGTTCACAACATGGGAGGGCTGTGGGAAAGTGTATATTGCCATGTTCTAGCAGGATATTCATTCGATTTTCCTCATCCTATCGATGGAAGTAGCGTGAGGCCAGCCGAGAGGTTGGAGACTCCCCTCTTCTCTCTCCCTCTCTGTGTCTCCTGCTCTCTCTCTCTCACACACACAAAAAAAAAAGTAAAAAGAAGTGGCAGTGAATATTTCCATGTTCTAGCGGAAGATTCATTCCGATTTTAAGGAGCCTCTCTCTATCTCTCTGCGTGCATGGCTGGAATACTCTCTCTCTCTCTCTCTCTCTCTCTCTCTCTCTCACACACACACACACACACACACACACACACACACACACACACACACATTTCATTCGATTTTGCTCATCCTATTGGTGGAAGTAGCGTGAGGCCAGCCGAGAGGTTGGAGACTTAGGGGCTCGTTAGACACTCCTTGGGCATGTAAAGTCCCCGAGAAAATTATCGTTCCACCTATCCTCGGGGATGAAAAGAAAAAAGACAAAGGAAAAGTGAAAACATTTTCTCCCTGAATCCTCAGGGCGTCCTCAGGCTACAGCCATTTTGTGGCCTTCCCCAAGCTACCTCCCGAGGTCCCTCGGAGGTCAAGGATCCGCGATAATCGGAGCCGCGATGTCACCCATCGTCGGCAAAAAAATTTCTTTGGCTAGTCCATTGGAGGACCTACCGGCTGTGTGTCCGAACAGAGGGCAACGGGGGCTGTTAAATTCCGTTGTACCCCGTTGAATCGCCCCAGGGCCCCAATGAATCCTGTTTAATGGAAAAACGGGGTTCTCCCATTGAATCCGAAAAAACGGGATGGGGCATTGAGCCTCGAACACGTGGCCCTACGCGTCCAAACACTAAAAACAGGAAAATAAATGAAAAACATTGACCCCTATTAACAGGGTGGGGTGGTCAAACATGCCCCTCCCTTCTGAAAATCAAACTGCAAGACGGCAAAAAGTTGGGGCCACCGCATACCCCAACACTGTGAGCACATGTGTGTGCATGTGGGTGCATGCAAAATTTTTTATTTTATTTTATTTACAAATGCTCCAATCTATTCGTCCAGTCTCATTTCTGAAGGGCCCCTACGTATTAGTAAGGACCCCTCGTGGAGCAGAGATGGACATTAGACTTCTAGCCTGTCTACATGGGCCGGGAATATATAGTCTGGATTCAAATTCAGGTCTGTGGCACTCTGTGCATCACAGTTATGGGTCACTAATTCTCTGTTTTCTCGTTTTTCTTTTGTTTCTCATTTTCCTTTTTTTTCTCGTTTCTTTTTTTTTCTCATTTTTCTTTTGTTTTCTCGTTTTTCTTTTCTTAGGAATACGCGCAGTGGCCCTAAGGGCCTCTACTCACCACATGCACAAAAGACAAAACATATGGCGGCATATTATTCCAWGTTCTAGCAGAAGATTCATTCTAATTCTGCACATTTGCAGTGGCCCTAAGGGCCTCTACTCACCACATGCACAAAAGACAAAACATACGGCAGCGTATTATTCCACGTTCTAGCAGAAGTTCCTTTTTTTTTTTTCTTTTGAAAGCCCAGGGTGTTGTAGAGGCCAAGGACCAGACCCACGGTGATTGCTGATAGCAGCAGCCAACGGTTGTCCTGACAGGATAGGCCACCTACCCTACCCATCCCCACGTTAATACTCCCAGCGCACCCCGTCCCTATATCCTACCTCATTGTGACCAGCACTCAGGACCATCACCCTACCAGTGTTGAGGGCAACTTGGACCAGACAGCAGTGACAAGCACCAGGGCTGGGCTAACCTCCCAGCCGTAATGGAAGCGGAAGCGGGCGAACCTTGCCGTACGGGAACTTCGGACGCCAGGCTCATGCAATCTTCTACAGGCCCAATTCAGAGAGTCTACCCAACAGGATTACCTAAGCAAGGCAGGGCAGCGCCCGTGGACACATCCTACCGTCCTTCCCCTAGCTTACCCAAGGCTAGGCGGAACTCAGACTAGCCGGAGCGACTTATATCCCTACCCTACCCTAGAGCTAACCCATGCATGGGTAGATCCCGTCATGCACATTTGGTGAGTACTGCAGCCAAACCCTGACAAATCTGCCCCCCCACCCCCCACCTGCCACCCCCCAAAATCTGCCCCCACATCCCCCATTCCCCAACCCCCACAGCCCCCAGTTGTGTGTTTTTTTGTGTGTTTGTGTGTTTGTGTGTTGTGTGCGTGTGTGTGTTATGTGTGTTTGTGTGCATTGTGTGTCTGTGTGCGTGTTTGTGTTTGTGTGTGTTGTGTGTCTGTGTCTGTGTGTCTATGTCTGGGTGTCTGTGTCTGTGTGTGGGCGTGTCTTTTTTTCATGGTAACCGACCGGACGTCCGGACCGGTTTCCAGGCAACCCCAAACATTCTGTAGGGGTCCGGTGTCCGGTCCTGGACGTCCGGAACGAGCCCCCCCCCCATGAAAATTCAAAAAAGAAAAAGGGGCCTCGGA